GACAATAACGAGCCAACGACCAATGACAATCACCGGAGTCCGCGCGTACTGCGGGCGACGCGCAGTTGTGCTCTTATCATTCATCCTCACGCAATCATTTAAAAGCAGGTACGTTATTCCTGGTCTTTCCAGGACAAGCAAGCCAGGAAACAAAATCTCTGAGTCGTGCTATGCTCGTGTGCGGTTGTGCCGATGGCTGAGACGTTCCAGGACACTGTGACCCGCTTCGGCGTCCGCCCCAGAAGCCGCAGACAGGTAAAGCGCTGCAAGTGGGCGGCAATAAGGTCAGCGAATACAATGGCGCCCGAACAGGGACATAAAACAAATAGGACAGCGGCAGCACTACAGAACAACTACAATAAGCCAATACGTCTTATCAGTGAATCAAACACCATGTTTTGTAAACAATAAAAATATAATATTTTTCAAATATTTTCCAATCAACTACATCTGTTTTAATCCACTTCTCCTCTACTATTAAATAGTTTAATTTTCAAATCAAAATGAGATTTCAATTAAATATATTTACATACACGCCACAAAATTGCAGTGTTTTCTTTCATTCTTGATCTCAGAGATATTCGGAAAAAATATCTAAGTGAGAAAATTGAATACTTCACAGGCAAAAGTCAAAATTGAAGTGTTTAGTATTTTAGCTACGGCCATAATATGTATTAAAGCTATTTACATATAGTTATAGAAAACGTATTTGCATCGATACACGAATTGAAAGTATGATTTTTTTGCATTGCTAACAAAATAGCAACTCGCCCTTACCTCTACTCTTAGCATTACAAGCAAAATGAGAGTTCAAAAAAACGTGCCCATAGTCAAGCTACATGTTCGTGTTCGGGGCGCTAATGTTATCAGTCCCGTAAGTTAAAACATGATATCCAGTGTCGAACCATATGTCGACATGCAGGAGATACCCTTTTAGGTATCTCCGCCAGCGGGGCACCGATCCAGCCGGAACAAGTTCTAATTTCCCGATATATGAGATGATGTAGTAAGTGTAAGGGGATAGGAGGTAACAAGGATATGGAAGGAAAGATCGCGCGCGGTCCGTGACTCGATTGTTAGGGTTCTGATACGGCATGCCTGGTGTTGATGGAAAAAATCACAGAAAACCTCCGTATGAAGCAGCTACAATTATCTCACAGACAGTAACTATAGCCGTCTAACCATCTTGCTAGTGTGGAAAATCCGACGCAACTCGATCCCGGCCAGTACATAATATAGTGCAGTAGACAGGATTATCGAGATTAACGAGATAAGTTTTAATAGCAGTTAGAAATGAACTTTCGCTAAGTGGGGGACACCTCGCCTTAGTTGGGTTTTGAACAGTGCCCCTGAACGAAGTGCGTCGGAATTTTCTGTCCTGCCTCAAACCAATACCAACGTTGGAGTCACACAGTGCAAATGAATATTAGCTGATTTCATATTGAAGATTAATCAAGACGTCAAGGAATACTTACAAAAGGTCACCTAGTTCAATTATGCATCCGTAAAACAAACACCATTCTGCGCAACGGCAACGACGAATGAAGAAATAACTAAACACTTCAAGGACATCAATGCACGGAAAGTAAAAGGGTACGAAATATTTCCATTACGGATCACCAAAATTCTCCCATCCAAAATCCATCAATCTTATTTTCATCTTCAAAACCTGCCTCAATCTTTACTATGCGTCACATATTTGATTTAAGAATTCTTATTCTTACCTTCAAACTGGCTAAAAATCATAGTAATTCTAACAATTTCTGTCCTACAATTGGTCTCCTGTATATTTTGCCTATAAAAATAATAACCCTCGTCATTATGGAAAAAGTCTAAGAAGATAGTCATACTACACGAATAATTCGTTTCTAATGTTCTCTCGTCAGCAACTCTAACACTTTGACTAGTTCTAGAGCAGTGGCGAGGCGCATGTTTGCGTGGACATTGCTAGATTTGCCCAGTTTCCAAGTCTATCTTTCAATTTAATCCAATTCAATTATGCCTTATTTTACGAGCCGACTGCTGATATTTCAATTTTTCAAATGCCCAATACGTTTGGTATTCGATTAGCATTTATGATGATTATTGCTTATTCTGCAAGAAAGCGAACCCCTTTCCTGCAGAAAATTTGAAATGTGCTTACAGTCACTAAGCAGTCGCTGCCACTTCAGCATTCCTCGCATCGAAAGAATTTTCCACACAATCACGAGCCGAAATTACCACTAATCGGTCGAGACGGGGAGAAAATTAGTGGTGAGCACGTACTTTCTCGCGTCAACAACGGTTGCGTATAATTATGATACAGCAATCTGTGGCCTTATTACATTATTACACATGCGTCCATATTAACACATCTTATATTCTGTCCACATACACGACGCTCGTGTGCCCGCAGATGACTAGCAAAGCCGCAAATTCCAAATTGCAGCAGATTAGGCGTGAAAAATTCATTCATTTAAAGGAAATACATCAACACATCTCCGTTCCATGCACTCATCAGAGACACTCACAAACATTTAACAATGATATAATGAGAATTTCAAACCGCCGAGTCGCGGCGTTCCGTTGTTGCATTGAAACGTGATAACTCCTGAAACATTCTAGCAAACGACGAGCGGGAAATTCGAATTTGAAAAAACTAAACGTTTTTTTAAGCACATGACCTTTCTTAAAAAATTGATGTTGTAGATTAGATTTCATTAAACAGAAAATTTTCTATCATCAATATTGTTCTTTTGCGATGTTAATTGAGAAAATAATTGTTTAAAAATTGCTATGTTTCAAGCAATACTATGCAATTCGCTACTACTAATATTTTCGAAAAATTGTACATGAACATATTTGGCGATCTGTTTTTGATGAACAGATTTCATTAAGGAAAACGTTTCTGTCTTCATTATTGTAGCTATAGACGCCAAAAAATTAAACTTTTACGATTTCTGAAAATTCAGGGAGACCAACGAAAATGCAACCTATGCCATTTCCTTAAGCGTCTTTTGTGCAATCAGAAAAAATTTGAAGCTATTTCATAGAACATTTCGAAAATATTGTTGAAGCTTCATGTAAAGTATCCAGAAAAATCAAAATATCCGTTCTGAACTGGCGGGGCGTTGAGTTAGTTCACATCAATCGGAGAATATCTATTCCGGAGATAAACGTCTGAACGGTTTACGCGCTAGTTTTGACCACGGACGGACGGACAGACGGACATTTTTCTGTCAATCGATTTTTCGGTGTTTCGGTATGAAATCCAAGAATTTTTTCTCTATTCATACAAGGGACATGTCGCAAATTCGCTCTTCTCCTTGCTTTTATCTTTCGTAATTAAGTATTATTTTGAAAGCAGAAAAACTCCATTCTACGGATGCTGCTGGAGATGGTATCATAAATCTTAATTTAGATACAACGGCAAGTTTCCTTAAATACGCACTCCAAATTTTCTTCTTTAAATTATTTTTTACAAATTTTCAGGGAGATTTTTTTCAATGTTGCAATTTCTTTTAAAACAATCTGCTCTTTTTTTTTTTTTTTTTTTTTTTGAAATTTCAGAGATTCAAAAATATTTGCTTTCAAGTTAGCAAACAAAATCTCAGAAATAGTTTTTTGTTTCCATGATCAAAAGCAAAAATGTTCATTTATTATGGGCATTTGGCCATATTTTATATGGAAATGGAGAGATGATACTGGAAATTACTTGATGTACACCAGAAAGTCTAAATTATTTCAAAACATTTATGTTATTAAATCAAGACCACTGAACAATTCTTACAAGTGAAACATTCGAGAGGTTTTAAACTTTCTTGATAATTGCAACATTTCAAAATTTGCAGGATCTCATTTTCAGACTGAAAAAGATAGCAGTCTAAATACGAGTATTTTTTTAATTTTTTGATTACGTTTTTTTAAATCTTTAATTGACTAAAGGTAAGCTCATTTTCTTGTTCCTCGTACTTACAAATAATATTTTAAAGATGTATCTAACCTTTTAAACATTTTTATTATAAAAACTTTAAAAAAGTATTTAATTTTATTTCTAGACATGTGTACTCCTAAAGCTGTGATCCCATCAGGCCATGAAACGTTGTTCTATTTTGCATCTAACAATATTCGTATTTAAAAAGCTCATCGAAAAAAATGTTTATCTGCAATGAATTCATTGTGGGACCCACCTGTAATAGTAGCATGAGACATCTGTAGGCTTCCTTTAGTTATTATGTTTTAATAGTATTTTCCACACATTTGAAAATTAAGAAAAGGAATACATTGATGTAACACTCGTTCATGTTTAAAAAGTAATTCTGACCAAAAGAGCGCGAACAATTTCGATACATTTTTCTTTCAGGCTCTTTTCTGCGGTATCACTTTTCAGCTGTGAACTAGTGTTGTTTCTCTGGATGCTTCATTTTATGAACTATTTGATGCTCTTAAAAACACATTAGTTCCACTTAAAAAATGAAATACACTGCCAGTTCGACGAGTCAAAACGGAGAACGACTGACAGGAACACGCGAAGGAGAGCATCCCTTGCTTTGGATTTTGAACATCTGTGTGAAGTCTGAGATCTTGTTCCTTAATACGAATAGAATGAATAGACTAGTGTTGCCAGAGCAGTTGACGAAAACCAAGAACGACCAGTGGGAACGACGATATTTTGTTTGGAAGTTAAATACGAATTGCGCATTTTAATTTATTAAAACGATTTTGACGTATAATACGTTAGAAATCTTTCGCTGGACAGGCTGAAGGATGTTTTGCGTTAATCGAGTTGGCCGAAGTCTGTAAACGTCATCACGAAATTGGACTCTCGTTGCGAAGCGTCAGTTCGCCTTTTAAAAATCGTTTGAGGTTATACGTACGCTCGCGGGAGCATTCATCAAGTTCTCGCAGAAGTGAGCTGATTTCTTCACGTCCCTTACGATAAGAGAGAAGAACCGAAGATCGCAGGGAATAGAGGTGGGGAGGTGCAAGGCAGGGGCGGCGCGGCATCGCAGGCCACTCACTGGAGTTGCAGAGCCCCTTGAGGACGCGGGTAACCGTGGCCTCGGCCTTGGCCACTAGCTCCTCCGTGCTGACCTCGCACACGGCATGCTGCGTCTCCGTCACCTCCC